CACAACCTCTCTAGAATATTGTACTGACATTCGCTTAGCATGATTGTTTGCGGTCTCTACTACGTCTTCTGGATGTACCTGCTTCCCAAATGGATGGGATATGAGATTCGTACTGAGATCGTGGAGGTCGATAACGACGGTGCCAACACCCACCGCCTGGTCAAAGTTCCCAAGGCTGAAGTTGCTCAATGGGATTCCGAGCATGACGAGGCAGGTAACCTGCGCCGAAGGAATGTCACGACTGTTGAAATCGAGTCGAGTGGGTCCAACGAGAAGACAGCCTAAAGTAGAACACATACTTTGAGCTTCATTTTAGGGAATCCTTTCCAGAATTCTTCTCTTGCCTTTACACATCAGATTGCAGTAGACTCGATGGAAAGCAGTATGATTCAGCACAGTATGAGGTGATCTTTGAGCGCTATGTAAGAGGCTTACATATACAGCTGCCACGCCACGTTGACTATCCAGCGATAATGAGATAAGAGGTCTCGCCCCCTTCACCGATGGCACTCGGCGTTTCATTCCGTATCTTCTGCATGATGTACTTGGTTCAGGCAGCGAATCATAGTACGTACCACCGCTGACGCTGCTCCCTGAATCCACTCCTAGATGCTAAATCAGGGTCAATGGATCGGCGTACTAGCTCTATGAACGTAGATCTGGGGTTCGCAGCAAACACTGCAGCTGTCACATGGAGATCATGCGGTTACATGGGATCCGTACCGCGTCATTGGTTCGTAGATGCTCCGTAGTAACGAGCATAAATTAGTGAGACATTGGATCTGAGCATGGATGGAGGCTAGTGACGATCCACACAGATTCCAGTCATCCGCAAGCCAAAATCCACGTTTTTAATTACAAGTTTCGGAAAGAAGGAGCGAACAAAATCTGCCCCCCTCCCCCTCCGAGTTGGTTGGTTACCCCGGTTGGTTGGTCGACTTCCACATAATGGCCGAAGCCAGCATCCATTTTCGAGGACTACATAGTTTTCAAGAAGTGAGCTGCACACCGATGCGGTGAATTACAGTAGCCGGCTCGAACTCGAGAGAGCTCGTGCTTGGATTCATATTGATGGAGAAGATGTACACAGCAGCCAGGCAAGGCTTATCAGATGCGTTCGTCGTATCTTCCACGTGATACACATCGACATCTAGGGGATAAGAGGTGCAAGGGCGATGATGACACCCTCGACTGACATCATGCATCAAATTCTTCCAGGCTAGAAAACAAGCTAGCAATTGATTATCTTCTTGGACCTTCTCTTCTCGCCTACCCACGTATCACTCCTCAGTATTACTTGGGCTGTGCTGTAATAGGAATCGTATTACTATGGCTATGCATGCCAGATCCGGTTGGCCGAAATCCCCATTAGAGTAGTCGTCGCCTAGGCAAACATCCGTCGACACCGGCGGCCTGATTATCAACAAATATCAACCCTGTGAGTAAATCGATCCCATATCACGGACCAGTGACGGATCGCCGGAACCGGAACCTTCTCCAGGGGGTTGGGAATGTTTCCCGCGTCTTATCTCCCGAAGCCAAGGATCCCCCGCCGGCCGACGAGTCATTCTTGCGCCTTTTGATCCAGTGCCCCGCAGAAACATGTCAACCCCACAGAATGCTACGGACTGGACCTGCAAGACTCTCAATAAGCTGCAGCAAGAGCCAGCCTATTCCCCGGCATTCCTTCATTACCATTCCGTAATCGCTCAATTGCCGTGTTCTAGCTATCAAGATAAGTCGCAGATAAGACCAAGAGAGCACTAGCAGACAAGGGCCGACCCAGAGGTTGGTCGGTATGCGAAGTCGGTCAGTCCTTGCCGATGGCATTCAAGCTCATCTTTTTGCCGACAGATAAGCAAATCCCGACCGCACGGGTCCAGCGTTCGCTTAGCTCAGTCACCTCCGGACCCCATCCACGTGCGATTGGGCACCTCCGTCGAGATAAGGTCGATATGTCAGGATGTTGGTCAGAAGTTACGATGAACTACGCGGATTCCATGGATTCTAGCGCGAGATCATCAGGCTTGAGCGAGGCATTTTCGAATTTAGTCGGATATTGGTTCCAAAATCGGACATGTTGTGTCTTATCCAGTCTTATCACCATGGCTTCACTGACGACAACCGGGGGAAGTCCGTCTTGATGGCAACAGTATAAGAGAACCCGAATGATCCATGAGAAACCCTTTCGGTCTTTTCAGAACAGCGCAGACTTTTTAATCTCCTGCAAGCCGAAGCTGCCTCAAGACAAGCCCTTTCTTCCCAAGAAACATCAGCGCACCAATCAGTCAAGATGCAGACCCGCAACTTGTTCCTCGCCGCGTCGCAGCTGGCCATTGGCCTTGCCGCCCCGGCCTCCATGCCCGGCTTCCCGGTCCACCGTCTTTCAACCCGCGAGACTCACTTTAACGCCAGCCTGCCCAACATTACCATCTTTGCCACGGGCGGTACCATTGCCGGCTCCGCATCATCCAACGCCCAGACTACCGGCTACCAGGCCGGTGCTCTCGGTGTCGACATCCTTATCGACGCCGTCCCTGAGCTGTGGAATGTTTCAAATGTCAAGGGTATCCAGGTTGCCAACGTCGACTCCGGCAGCATTACTCCCGAGATCCTCCTCAACCTTACCCGCCTTGTCCAAGAGGCCCTCGACGACCCGTACTGCCAGGGCGCCGTTGTCACCCATGGCACCGACACCACGGAAGAGTCCGCTTTCTTCCTTGATCTGACCGTCAAGTCTGAGAAGCCCGTCGTCGTCGTCGGTGCCATGCGTCCTGCCACCGCCATCAGCGCCGATGGCCCCATCAACCTCCTCGAGGCCGTGACCCTCGCCGGTAACCCTGATGCCAAGGGCCGTGGCGCCATGATCGTTCTCAACGACCGCATCGGCAGCGCCTTCTATACCACCAAGACGCACTCCAACTCTCTCGACACCTTCAAGGCCGTTGAGCAGGGCTACCTCGGTTTCTTCCTCGACATCAAGCCCATCTTCTACTACCCCGCCGTTCTCCCCTACGGCCGCGTCTACTTCAACGTCTCCGAGGCCACCGAGCTCCCAGAGGTCGACATTCTTTTCGGTCACCAGGCCCTGCAGCCCGCTCTCGCAACCGCTGCCGTTGAGGCCGGTGCCAAGGGTCTCGTTTTGGCCGGCATGGGTGCTGGTGGATGGACCACTCCTGGCCGCGACACCCTCAAGAAGCTTGCTGAGGAGCACGACACCCAGATTGTTGTCTCCAGCAGAACCATGGGTGGCTTCGTCGAGGACGATGATGCTCTCAACACCTACGGTGGCTGGAACCTGAACCCCCAGAAGTCCCGCATCATGTTGCAGCTTGCGCTGTACGCTGGCTACACCTCTGAGCAGCTTGAGACCCTTTTCAAGTTCGCTTACTACTAAGAGTAATGAGTTGAAGTTATGAGATCATGAGCACATAGATATCAATAATAGACCAAAAGTAATGTTTACCTAATAAAAGTCGAGTTACTCCAAGTGCCAATTATGACGAGCCGAGATGCTGAGGAGTAGCAAACTTCCTAAACGCGCAGCACTGTATGACGTGCGCATCCAAACCCACGGGGGGAAAATTATCAGACGAAACAGAATGCCAGACCAACGAAGAGGTATTTTTGACTTAGTCTGCGCGAGCTCCACGAGGCCTTCATTGAGTCAACTGTAGTCAATTGGCGATACGGGGTGTCGACCACCCCCGCGTATGACGTTGGTAATTCGGAATAAGTTGTGCGAATCACGAAGACGAGTTGAACTACGGTCCTTCGAGCTAAACTCGAGTGCAGAAGGTCTTCGTTAAGAAACATCGCTGCCGAGCTTCATGGTATATTCAAAATCGTCAAGATCGTTAGCAACTCCGATCTATAGATGTCACCCCCGCCCCCTTAACCAACACACACAACTTCCATTATGTAAATTGCTTTGCCGATCACAACTCTTAGCCGTTTATTAGGACCCACTGCATTGATACGATATCTACCAACTCAAACGAGCTTGTAGACTGAGTTTCTTCGCCTGAGAATTTGGGCGAATGATGTGGCCGGCTCATTCCTTCAATGCTATGAATACAATACTGTCAACGTTGAACTATGTTCAGCCTGCTTTCGTTCGAAACCGTCACAGGAAACACCGGTTACGGCTGGCAGTTCCAAGGCGGAACAAGACTTGAACCAACTAGGAGCAGAACTAAGACTATACATGCACGACGGCAATGGGACAGGGACAAGGGACGCTATCAATTTAGGATCTTAGTTCTAAGGAACGCTTTCACGACACAGTGGAACAGTCAACTCATCATTGGATCTTTAAAAGGTGGCATATCTTGAAGAGTACTCCCTAGCACATGCCGACAATAAATGTAGTCAAAGTAAGTAGGTCATGATGAGTAATTCTGCACGAACCTTAAATACGCCGAGGGGTTTTCACCCTTGTATTGTGTCCATCAGCCTATGTTAAACTCTCAGCAGGCGTATTGGTTAGACGTTACTATCACCTTTGCTGGTGGTTGCATTAAACACGCTTGTCAGCTATTGGAGTGGCAACGATGAACATGTACCTCAATTGATGTGCAACAATGATGGGAAGTTGAATGGCTCCCTTTCTCGAATCATTCCTTTTGTAGTTCATACCGTAACCCAAAAGAGCGGGTCATAAAAAGTTTAAAGATTGAGAGCATCCTGCGATTCCGGCTGCGCCGAGGAAATCATCGACAAGTGGACGGCAGACTCATGAGCCCCACAAAATAAGAAAGAGTGTAGGTAAGGAATAGAGTACATTGTAATTATTCAATGGAGCGAAGCATAATGTAATCATTTTTGCAATAGTGAAGGACTCTATTTTACATTTTCTAAAAAAAGAATTCTTGGCATCGCGCCGGCTTATATTCTCCAGATGCTGCACTTGCCTCTCCTTCACTTCTCTCCTGGGCTGGTGCACTCAATCGCTCTCGTCACTCGTTTTTACTTGGCTCTAGTCTTGACTGACGACAAGGATGTCTCAATCGCCGATTCGTCTTGTCCTTTTCTACTTGTCATGGTTCGCGGTGGCCGCTAAAGCGTCCATGACGCTCGAGCGTCGAGCCATTCGCCGTCAACAATCAGACTCCTCGCACTTCTGCAGCGTGAAAACTTGCGGCGCAGCGGGTGCGGATACTTGTGATCAGCAGCTAAATACCAGAGTTCTCGGTGCGCCTGATCGAGGAAGTCAACCCGGCCCAGGCCGGTGGGCCGACCCTACAAATTACGGCGGCAATGTTGACAGCTTCTTCCGCGGCGAGGTGGCCAAGCTTCAGTGGTCCCAACAGGACATCGTCTCTATCAATGGAGCGGATGTAACTTCAAAATACATACCGTTCAAGAATGAGCCAAAATCGCTGGCAGCGCTAGGCTTCTGCGGTTGTGTTGGTGTTATTGTTATGTCGAGGTCAGCCGTCTGGATGGCGCACATCACCGAGGAACCCGTGCTCACCAATGAGGCGACATTTAAGAGGAATGGTCTCGATGTACTTGAAAATGGATCTGGAACGGACGACATGTACTACGGCTTGGCAGATCTGAAGGACAATGTTTTCGCCGCGAATCAGGATCCTGTCATTGTCGTTTTCGCCCCTAAAGACGAATCTGGGGAGTTCAAGTACCGAAATCTTATGGCACAGGTTGATGATCTAGTGGAAAACTGTAAGTTCAGTCTAGGGCCTGTTCTCATTCCTGAATCATTGCATTCTGAGCTCCGGAGTACGATAAGAACACAGTATATTGACTGTTTTAGTGATTCCAGTGCGATCCAAATGGATTGGATATACTCCGATGACTGGAGGCATGGAGAAATACGACACCCGCTGCACTACTTCCAATGGCAAGCTTCTCGTACAATACCAACCGTCTCATAGCAGATTGTTCGGCAAGTCAGATGCAAAAGCCAGAATTTGGGTGGAGGGAAGCCGATGGACATATGAGTCCGCATGGAAGCCACAGAGCGATCAGAAAGCCAGCTCGTAGAATAAGTTAGGCCTGACAGCGCAACAGTAAGTTCGGTAAATGCTTAAGGTGAAGAATCAGACGCCACATTATATTCAGACCGAGATGAATTGATCAATGGATGCTACATCAACATTCCGGCAGTTACCTTATTGCCCCTCCCTGCTTGGTGGGTAGCATACCTCGGCTCAAGCAGCAAAACCGTGATCGCCCACACCAGGGCAAAACCTTGCATGGATACATGTACTGCACCCCGGGGTTTGAATACGTCAGAGTCGTGCAATGATCCTCTAGGGGTTCATCCAAGCCCCAGTCTAGGTCGTTGACTGCAACGCAGAAGGTTCCAATGCAACCGTTATTTTCCCGAGCTGTTCAGCCCATTTGCCGATGCAACCGCACCAAGGCCGAAAAAGCAATCCATGCGGAATTCCACCATACGGCCTCAAGCTATGGGTGTATATCACAACGATATAATGGCGCACAGCTCCTAATGTGACAAAGGGAACGGCTGATTGTGACAAAGGCGAAGGCCAAGGCAACAAAGGCGAAGGCTAATGCGACAACGCCCTCGACTAACGTCCAAGAATTCAGGAGAGTAGGCTCGAACTAGTAATTTCCTAGCTTGGCAAGCTGAAAAGAATCCATCCAGTGCAGTTTGCTCATTCGGCCTCATGTGCAACGCAATTAAATATCCTCTTCGTGCCCTCTCTACAAGTTTCCCAGCGGCAAGCCACTCGTTCAATTCACTGTCTTCAGAACATCACCAAAATGTCCCAAGCCTTTGCACCTTTTACCCCTAGGAGGCTGATGACCTTGATCGTCGCCATTGCCTTGCACTCCGCAAGCTTTGTTCATGGACTACCTGCCTCTGAAAGTGCCGACCTTTCAACGGATCTTCGAAGAGCGCCCACCGACAACTTCCACCTCGAATCGCGACGAGACATTCCTGATGCTTTGGCCAAGTTTCCATCCGGCCCGTTGAACCAATTCCTCAGACTCATCAGCACTCTCCCAGCCGGAGCCGCTGCCCTGGATGCAGTTGGTCTGGTTTTGACTCCGTTGCAGCAGAGTCTTGCCGATTCCGTCGGTATTGACACGACCGAGGACGGCTTGGCGCCGAATGCTACCTGTGCCGATATCACTGTCATATTCGCCCGCGGAACCACCGAGCCTGGAAACGTTGGTCTCGTGACTGGCCCGCCTTTCTTCGATGCCCTGAAGAAACAAGCAGGCGGAAAGTCTATCAACATTCAAGGTGTTGCTTACCCTGCAACCTTTGAGGGGTTCAATAACAATGGAACTGAAGGAGTGCTCAGCATGTAAGTGAGCTTTCAAAAGTGAGATCTACAATTGGAGTTCTAACTCGGCCTTCTAAGGACCAACTTCATCAACAAAGCCATCACCAAATGCCCTAACTCCAAGATTGCCATATCCGGCTACTCTCAAGGAGCCCTAGTTGTCCGCAGCACAACGCAATCGCTTCCAGCTGCGACAATGGCCAAGATCAATTCGGTGTTGACTTTCGGCGACCCTGGATACCCAAATCCTATCCTTGGCGCAGATGGCAAGACACAGATCATTTGCAACGACGATGATGCGGTTTGCAAGGGAGGTTTTATCACTGTGGACCATCTGACTTACGCCGAGAATGCAACGACGGCTGCGGAATTTGTACTTCAGAAAGCGAACACTCAGTAGAACGTTTGACGGTGAGGCCTAGCATAACCGACCGTTATGCAATTAAACAGATGAGAATCTTTTCGTATTGTAATTGAACCCGTCAAACATAAGTTGTATCAACCAAAGACCTATTAAGCCGGGCGCTGAGCAACTTCAATCGATAAGCTCTGGAAACAGTCGGCGAAATAACAACGTGAGGAGATATGAGCATGATTACAAGGCCTTTTGCACCACAGTCAATGAGAGGTTTCCATGTCCTTCAGCCTGCGATCAAAGCATAGCCAACCGTCATTTACCATCTGTCCTCTGTCGATGTGGCTTGCATTCCCAAATGCATTTCTCATGCGTATAGAAGGCCTTGCTGCGGGTCATCGACTTGCCCGCCCGAGAAAGAACAATGCCCCGGTTCCGTAGTTGACACCGCTACAACACCCCACTGGAGTGGCTTCTCCCAGGCATTGGGTTCGTCTAGCCCAGGATGACAAGCTGCAGCTATTGCTGCACTGCAACTCCCCACTACAGGTATCTTGCCGAATTTAAGAGGCCGCGATCCGACAAATATAAGATACACGATCATGATAAAGACAGCAAAAGCAACCATCATAACTCCAAAGCCTGACCAGCCACAGGATGTAAAGCTTTTTTCCGGGTAGGGGACCATGGCCATGACGTTTTCTGATGAAGGGCCATATAAGTCCATGCTGACAACGAAAATGCTTTGCGAGATGAGCCAATGAATAAGACCCGAAAAGATCATCACCGGGATTGAGTATCTGAGTGGAAGCTGCAAAAAGTAGGTTTGTCTTTGGGCTCCCTGAGGTTGCGCGGAGACTCGAAGGCCTTTTCTGTGACTTCCGAACCTATCCCACTCAGATACCAAAGATATGCTTGTGCAGATAGTATTGAAATTGCAGTAAAGGAGCGTCTGTATAAGTTGGAATGTGTTGGCGACGATGACGTTGAGGATGAGAGACGTAGAGTCTTGGCCCATCCAGCTGGTCTTTAGAATAAGCTCCGCTTGCGGTGAAGCCATTCCTGCTGGTTTCAAATCTGTAAAGCCGGTGGGTATCTTGCACAGCAGCAGAATCACACAACCGACGATTGAGGTGAAGTATCTAGTTTTCCTCATCAATTAAAGTGTTCTGGAACGCTGTTCAAAGAAATATTCACTTACCCAAGCACACATATGTTCCATCGAATGGTACCAGTGGCTAAATCCTTGTATTGCAATCCATTTCCGAATTGCCGCGGCTCCCTGGTCCAGTCATTCTTGATAAAGTCCTGGTTTGACTTGAGACACATCCTTTCCGTGGTCTCATCAGGTTCTTCCATGAAAGAGGCAATAGCGTCTCCAACAGATAGCAATGGTCTTTCTCCGTTGGTAAAGGCAACAGACAGCATTAAAACAACCTTGAAAAGGTTGAAAGTAATGACGACCCAGCAAAATACCCTGCTGTACAACAGCTTGCAATGCCCCTCTGTTCTTTGGCTGTGGCATTCTGTGATGGTTGTTTCATTAATCCCTAACGTATCCAATCTCTCCGAGCTGGCCCATTCAGAGCCTGAAGACATCGTGTCTTCTTCTGTTGTCATTTCTTCCAATTTTGCAGTATAATTTGTAAGTTCATCGTCCGCTGAAATCAAGATCAGGCTGCCTCGCGAAGACTGAAACTCAGTCCTATACGCCCTGATACACTCAGGAAAGCTAAGGTTCTCCATTAAACCTTGATTATAGGCGCTATAGATGCCCGCTAGTGTTGTCCTGGCTTCTGGAGGCGCTGGAGATACATCACCTGTAGCCAGAAACCTTCTGTCTGTTTTGAATACCCAATACGCATTCACCGAAGTTGATGCGAATATTGTAGAGTTAAAACTGTGAAGAAGTCAGCTTGACATCAAGTACTAGGTAGTGTTGGCACAGGATTACGATACAATAAATGAAGAGGAAGAGAAGATATCATGAAAAGGAGCCAAGAGACCCTTCTTTTCCATCTGATGCGCCAGAAATTACGGATGCTAGGGACCCCAATATCCATCCAATCTTGTTTGGCATGGGCTTTGTTGATCTCAGACCTTGTCGGCGCCATAAGGCACTGCATGCAGTAGTTGCTGCCAGATAAAAGAACTGTGCTCAGAACATTTATGACAACGTGGATGCCAGTATTAGAAGCTTTCGTCTCCGAACAGGTGTCTGGGAGTAGCAAAATACCAATTCCATCTTTCTTATCCGCCGAGCGTGAAACGGTAGCCCAGATGATGAAGGTGAGGTTCATGACCAATGTAGAAAAGGCCGCAATAGCAAAGCCAAGGGCAGCCTTTTGCCATTTGGCCTGTGGAAGTATAGCTTTGGCTTTTCCAGCAAGGCTTAGCCGCCTCTGTTAATAGAATAAACCAAAACACACATAGTGAACAGGGGCGCAGATGGAGAACTGATCTTCCTTGATCACTTATGTGTACGATTGTGCTAACGTACCGGTGCGTGCAGAAATGAAACGACGGGCAAGCCATCGCGAAATACTTTGCTTCACTCCTAGGTCTTCGAATTTAATGGATCCTGGCCGTAGATGGACTGCGTTAACTGGTTTGTGCTCTGGGTTTATTGTTTGACTCTACCGGGCTTCCGCTTGGATTTCCCGCTCACAGTCGTCGGAGGCCAGTGGGAGGAGTCCACTGAGAAGTTATATCTACATGTACTGTCTTTCTGCCGCGATGTACCAAGATGGCTGACGCGCGCCAAACACCTCAGCCACGACTGGTTGTATGCAGTACCACCGTCAATTGGTATGTGGTCAGAATTTCGCAAGAGGCAATTGGGTATATGTAGGTAGGGTTCAGCTATAGCTGATTAAGAATGACCTTGCACCGCGCGGCTTCCATTCCCAGCTACGCCTTCCACCAATGGTGATGACTGCCGAGGCTTTAGTGATAACAAAAGACGAGACACAGCATTTCAGCTGACATTTAGTGTGTCAAAGTGAAACGCTACGTCAGAGAGTCATCCCTTAATCTTTAATTGTCTCGTCATGTCACCAGCCTTGGGGTTGTGCCAAATCCAGTAAGACACTTTGAGGCCCTGCAGGGTACTTCGACTTTCTCCAAATGGGAAGGAAACCGTACAATACGAGCCCGATCTGTTGGTAACTCTTTACCTGAGTCGCCACGCCTTTGAAAGTGTATTGCAACAAGTTCTCCACGGATTCTAGCATGTACCAAACAAAACTACCTTTTCACAGAACGTACTATAGGTGCCACCCTTAGAATTACAAGGGTAACATTGTATGTAATGGTTTTTTAGTCTTCATACCTCGTAAAATGACCTCTCTTCGACAAGCGTCAGTGCTACATTAAGGACTACTTCGGTGGCTGTTCCGAATCATTTATGGTGCTTTCTTTATCGAAGCTAATAAGACCTCACAGACAACCCATCTTAGGTACTATTAGATCATAGGCTGGTAGTCATAGATGAAGCGGGGGCTACGGAGCAAGACGTTGCGGACAGCTTCAACCTGTGTATCGATGCTGTTTCGCCTTTACATGTTTGTTATTTCTGGTACTAAAGAGTTAGAAGGCTCTCGGCCGATTTTTAAGTCCGTAACAAGCAAGATCGGTGGAGCCATGCATTAAGGAGGGGCTCACTATATCGACGGAACAGTGTAAGAAGTGGCTAAGTCAGGTTCGCAAGGGCGGAGTTGTGACATCACTACTCAAGTCCGCCCAAAGTCCGCAGCCCGATCATGCGATATAGGGATGCGATGTTTGGGTCCTCGAGGTCGTCCGCATTTCCTGTATTATTGGGCCAGCTCACTCACGCTCCATACGAGGCATGAGGTCTCCGACCGACGCCGAGTGTGGGGCAACTATCAATCGGGCCGTCCGAGATGGAATTGGTGCAATCACCGGGGCTCTCCGGACGCCGAGATGATGGGCCAATCGAAACTTTCTCATACCTATCAGAATGGATGAATCGATGGCGGTGCGGATCGCTACGGTCGCCAATTCAAGATAGTATGACTTCTTGCCTCCAGGTACAGTCAGATACAGACTGTCCCCAGCTATTTAAACGCTCCAGTATGTCTCGTAAATATGTATGCTGACTTCTCAAACAACAACATCTGATCACAAGCTTCATCTTTTATACCTAATCATCACATCACAATGGCTACAATCGTGAGAAACGTTGCACTCCTCGGTGTAAGATAGAACCCTTTCTTCGAGCATCCAGGGTTGGACGACTCTAATTAGTGTTAGGCCACCGGCATATTGGGCCCTCACTTGCTGAAAGCATTGACTAGCGCTGGGCACTCTGTCACCGTCATTCAGCGCAAGGAATCTACGAAGGAAGCGCCTCAGGGCGTGAAGTCTGTCAAGATTGACCTGTCCAGCTTCGATGATCTTGTCTCCGTGTTCAAGGGGCAGGATGTCTTCGTCAGGTAACCCCCATTGACCCCAAAGCTCTGATTTACGTTTCCCCAATTACTTACACCGCACCAGCGCTGTTCCAAACCCGACTCTCGCTTCAGACAAGGTCATAATCGACGCCGCCATCGCAGCCTCGGTGAAGCGCATCATTCCCTCCGAGTTTACCACCAATCTCGACACCCCTCTTTCCCGCAAGCTGCCTCACGTCCTCGGCAAGGTTGAGGTTCGCGAGTACCTCGAATCTGTGGTTCCAGCATCTCCGTCAACTACGTGGACTTCCATCAACAACGGCGCATTTCTCGAGCTATGCCTCAAGTTCGGCATCCTCGGCCCCAACTTGATGCAAAAGACGGCGACTTTCCACGACGGCGGCGAGAAGGTTGTCGGCGCATCTCTGCTACCTGACATCGGTACCGCTTTGGTCAAGGTCCTTGAGCCTGGCCATTTTGAGGAGACCGCCAACAAGCCGGTCTACTTCTACTCCGCCGCCATCAGCGAGAAGATGCTTACCCGACTTGCGTCCGAGGCGACCGGTATCGACTTTGGCAGCGTCGAGGACGGCCGCATCCCAAATCTGAAGGTTGAGGATATGGTCCGCGACGCGAACGAGAGGCTGGCCAAGGGAGACAAGTCTGCGATGATCACTTACTACTTCCCGATGATGTACAGCGAGGGATACGGTGGCACTGACTTCAAGAAGCTGTCTTGGAATGAGAAGTTGGGTCTCAGGGTCTTGAGCGAAGATGAACTGAAGGAGCTATTCAAACAGGCTGCGAAGGAACTTGGAGTCCTCTAAGACAGGACAAAGTTCTTCGGGTGATATCTCTAGACAAGGCGTCATCGTTGACATGTATGGCAACATCGGTGGGAACCCAAGTCAGATCGAAACAATCATTGACTAGAATTTAAGTCAACTAGTATTTGAGCAGTGTACAAACGAGAAAGAAGATCCCATGTTTACCACGTAAGGTCCATGTTAAAGCGGTAATGTCACCCATGTATGTCACGGGAATCTAAGTGCACGGCGATCTGAACCACGACCGTCGCGAATTGCTCTCACGTCTTCAATATGGCAAGTCTCCCAAGCGCCCGCGCGGTTACTCTGGACAGCCTTTCAAGAGAATGCAGTTCGACAAGGACATGCCACAAACAGCCCAGCCGAGTCCAGCAGGTCGATTTTGTTGGTCCGTGTGACGTATGAACGCACTGGGATCGGCCCTCCTGTGTCACTTAGATTTGCGGATCATCACTGGAGGCGAGGCAGTATTCTATGCCGACGATTCTCTGCTTGGAACCGAGAGCTCGGTTGAAGGCTGGAGGGGATGAAAACCGGGGAATATCAGCAGGAATCACCAGTGAGAGTGCAAGTAATATATCCGAATTGTTCTGCAACCACGGATGTACATTCATTCACTGTCCTAATAGGGAAAATGGACCGGAAGTCTCTACCCATCGGCCGAAACTCAATAATAACCATATCCACGGACTCGGCCTGACTTGCACGCTGACGGCTCCACACTCGCGGTCAGTCGTTCATCCGATCAGGATTCACTTCCAAGGGAACCCAGGAAAACAATGTGATGTCCGAAGTCGAAATATAAGAGACTCAGTTTCCCGAGTGGCCTAGAATCATCATCAGTTCACTCGACTTGAAATTTCACTCCGCTCGTCTCTTTTAGAATTCCACACACATCTTCGCCATGAAGTTCTCCATCATCGCCCTTATCGTCCCCCTCGTCGCCGGTGCCGCCATTCAAGAGCGCCAGGTCAGCCCCGAGTGCGAGAAATGGGGCTCTCTTGACCACCCGTACCCCTTTGCCACGCAGTGGGGACAGTACTTCCTGTGCTGCAACTACTTGGGACCAAACGACGTGAGTTTCTACCGTTCCTTCTGCGCGCCGATGACCATGACGAAGTTTCCTGCAGTGACTGACTTGGTGACACAGCTTTCTCAGGGCTGCTGTGATCCCGCTGGCGCCAACACCGGCAGCGGTGCTCCTGGGTGCCCCTAAGAAGCAGGCAGGCAGTTAGGAAACGTCTGCCGTTATTCGCAGCACGTACCTTCGATTCATATACACGTATCTCCAATAGCAACACAAATTGCTTCATTACCCCAAAGTCTCCGTCTTCGCGTGTGAGAGGAAGCCACATGCAGTGTGGTCTTGTTACACGAACCCGCCACCCAGTGCTTTTGTTGCCTTGCCGTTCTACCTCCCCACGACCAAAATCTGCCAGAAATTCAGGACCTATTGCGTCCATCCGCATAGCTTTACCCCAGATCCGAAGTCCGGGATGGTTCAACTGCCCGAGAAACACTCAGGGGGCCTCCGGGGGCACCATCACCGGCCCCACATCATAAAGAGGGGCCATCCCGGCCTCCGTTTGCCCCTTTAGGAGATCACCTGGGCTTTGGATAAATGACAGCCTTCACAAGGTTTGCTAGGCGAACCGACTTGCCGCAGGCGAAAAATGCCTATTTCAACAACGGACGAGTGTTTGGCTCAGAAAACAGGTTTTCGATATCTTCTGTGGTAGCATGCCCTCTCATCCCTTCAATTTGCCTACAAATATTCCTCTGGTTTGGGTACGCTCTTCTCGCCCATATTCAACGGCATCTGCACTCGACGTCAGCTCCAAATCTACCAACGTATCCACGTGACAGATGCGTGAACTTACCATGGCCGGCCTGGCCGCAGTCTCTCTCTCAAAAACGTCCATGACGATCTTCTTCCGACTCTCGCTCCTGTACGTTAGTTTCACCGGCATATCCTCCGCAGGATTTCCGGGCAACTCGCCGGCGTAGTCAGCAAACTCCAACGTCGACTTGGTCCCCGGCGCCGGAGCGACATGGAATGTCCAGAGGATGCGCATCATGGTGATCACGAAAGACCGTTCAGCAACGTGGTATCCCGGACCTAGCACACTCTTAGCAAAGCTCCCAGCAGAAGCTGTTGACGGGGGGCAGCGTACAACCGCGTCGACCGGCTCCGAACGCAAAGTGGTCCCTCTTCGTCGGGTCTTGGTGGTTCATGCTTTCCATCGTCGTGGTCTCGTCGTCCTTGAACCTCTCCGGGCAGAATCGCTCTGGGTCCTCGTGTCTCGCGGGGTCGTGGCTTATGGCGCTGTATCATGTCAGTCTTCACCGACTGCCGTCACCACAGGCGGGATATAGACATACTATGCGTTGATATGAAGTCTCGCGCCTTTCGGCAGGCAGTAATCCCCAACCTGAAGATCTCGCGCGGTAATGTGAGGATGGCCGAGGGCCACTGGCGGCCGCCATCTCCAGAGCTCCTTCATCATCATGCGGAGGTAGGGGATGCTCTTGAGATCATCATAGACGGGTATCCTCTCGCCGACGACTCGATCTGAGTTCCCTCGTGCATAAGTATTTGTGCCAAACGCTCGTAAGACGGGAGATCGAAGGACTTGCCAATATCTTCGCGGGCCTTGGCTTGGACTTCGGGAAACATCATCATCGCTTCCAGGAATGTCCACGTCGTCATCCGACTCTAGTACAGCGTTCCCTTGATCAGTCACATTCACAAAAATGGGGCTCACAGGTAGATATCCAACTCAACTCACCGTATCCGCAGCTCCGACAATGAGTGACAACCCCAGAATGGCCACCTCTTCTTTGCACGACATTCCCCTCAGATCGTCAGACTTCAGAACCGAGCCCCAAAACGTGTTTTCCAAGGACGGGTCGCCCTTTGCCAGGCGGTCTTGGGCAGCCTGCAGCCCAAGCATCAGACGTGGTTCTCAAACATCGACCTTTTGATAATACAACCTACCTCGAGTCTTTTCATCGCCCAAGCCAAATCTCTCCGGTACCTTGCGCGCCCTTTTCTCTCCCAAGGCTTCAAAAACATGGGTAGCTTCCCGAGGGACGGCATCAGATCGATGACGTTCATGCCTGGAAACGTGTCTGGAATTGCGTAATTGTGGTCAGCTTCGTCGTCCTGAACAGTGCGTTCGAGTGTATGCATGGGATACACTTACTGATGATTTGCGTCTCCGCCTCTGCTTCAATGTCAGCTTCCGAACAAGGTGGTACAAAACAAGATTCAACTCACCCATGATGAACGGGATAACGGCGTCGTCGGTATCGGGAATCTAGTTCACAACTCACGTTAGCAAGCCCCCCAAGCCATAGTAAAACGTAAAAGTCTCACATCCATGCCCATAAACGCCGTTGCGAAAGCGCTGTACGTGTACCTCCCAATCGCCTGATACAGTCTCGCGCCAGCAAGACCGCCTTTTGGGTCCGTAACATTCTCATGAAGGAACTTCAAAGTCTCGTATTCCAGTAACCTGGCACGGCCGCAGTAAGCCCCAAAATCTCTCCGTTTCGCGACCCGAGGAACGTAAACTCACGGAATGATCTCGTCAGCCTTCTGGACATTCGTCACAAGCTGGTTGATAACCTTGCGTTGGTTCTTCAGTCACTCGTCAGCAAACTACATCGTCAAACATAACACCTTTCCCCGTGATCGTTGCTTTGCCAAAAGTCCCTGCATTCACGCTTGTCCAGTTTCGACTCACCTTCCACGTCGGATCGCTCGCCTTCAAGAACAACACATTAAAGTCATTGTTCAGAATAGTACTCGACATAATCCACGTCGGACGGTCCGCCGTCTGCGCAGACTTCTTGTCGAAGATTTCCTACACCGCAGTCAGCAAAACCCTTTCCACGCCTCAACGCAACCCATCCCAAACAACAGAAATAAGCTCACCTTAACCATCACATCGGAGTTAATGTAATAATCAACAATATACCCCGACCTAACGCCGAATATCGGCCCGTACGTCCTTGCCCACTCGTTCAGCCGCAAATGCCACGTCCTCGTCTTGTTCTCGCGGATCAGCTCCGGCAGGTGTCCGAGAACCGGTGTCGCGGGTGGTTGTGGCGGTAATCTCGCCGTCGACTTTCCTTTTCTTCGTATCCAAAATGCCGCGATTCCAAGAATGACCGCTCCCAAAATTGCGAGGGTCGGGTTGCCCAACACCATCTTGACGACACGTGAGTCTGCAAACGTACCGCCCATAGTTGTGTGTAACTCTCGTGCCAGTGTCGTTCGGATTGAGTTGAGTTGAGTCGAGTTGATTTGATAATCAGTTGACAAAAGTCAACTTCAGTATTCTCTTATCCTGCACGCAGGAACAAACAACTTTATTGATCAACGCTGATAGCATGGCAACGGCCTACACCCGGGTTTTCCGACCACGAAGCGGACCGGATCGGTGCCTCCTGTCGCCGTCGTGGTAGTCGAGCAGCCCTACTACGTCCTCTGCCGTGCGGCGTATCAGCCTCCCCCACCGGCAATGCCGCACGTCCGCCGGAAAGTGCGGGGGAGGGCATCCTAAGCTTTCCCCCAGACTTCCCCAGACCACACTATCTCACGGCATTTGGAATAGAGTGGTTGTGGTTTGAAGGAAGAGGCGCTGTACATATTAGATAGAACTTGCAGAGGCCATGCTATGGTCTTGATGATCTACCCCACTAGGCATCATCCAGTCGTTCTGCTAGCTACAATCTCTACAGCGCATGAGACGCAGGTTTTGTTACTGGTATTCATCGGTGGAATCGGCGTCGAAAGCGCCGTGTCGACTCGGATGTTCCGGCAAGCTGCCATCTCATGCTCGGGCTGCTTGACCATTGCTGAACTGAAGGAGAAGGTCGTACTGAGGCAGTGGTATTGGGGTAGAAATGCCACATAGTTTACACAAAGTTCGTCACTGTTCAAATTTGCTCATGCTACTTATCTGGAAACAACCGTCCTCATCCCCAAAATGTCCGACTACTGGTCATTCGAAAGCTGAAGAAATATTTGGCAAAATTAGAAACACGGAGCAGCATGGTGCTGACCCGAGATGCCGCAACTTGCAAGTAATACGAAGACGACTCACCAACCCATCTTTCTGACTCAGAAACCTACGCTCTGAAGACGTCAATCCCTCAGCACGAACTCCTCACCTTGAAATATGAGACGCACACCGAACATCACCTCGACTACTCAACCAACCACCCGATACCGCTCCCGATCACATCCGGAGAGAGGTGGTGCTGAGTGAGACCACCGCCGCGATTCAAAACCTTCGGAAACGGCCCGGCACACACAATGACAAACACCAATCTATTGGAAAGCTTATTTTGCCAGCAGCGACTGTCCAAAAAGTCGAATGCGCAAGAGCAGCCCAATTTCGGCAGCATCGGACCACGGAGCTTTTTAGGACCCCGCTGACATATCCGGGAACGCTGCCGGGAGGGTCCCGCCGCCTCCGAATACTGAAGGTCATTTCGGATTTCTGGCCTTATCGCCGATGGATTTGTCAGAACCTCGCCGTCCGGACGAAGTGTTTGCAGACGGCCAACGTTGATAATCCTCGCGAATGATAGGATAATCAATTGCCGCAGGATCACGACCGGCGGCCAGGTCGGCAGGCCGGTATGGCCCAACGGCGCCGCTGGGAGGTAATCAAAGTTGCGGGGGACAGAACCACACTACACGTCACAGATCAGCCAAGTGCCACACCCGTTAGAGAAGTCGATTTGCAGGGGTGGGAAGGTGAGAATGCCGTCCAAACTCCGAGGGAGGAGGGCAGGAAAGTCCGCCGCAAGGTATCCGGTCGGATACGGCCCTCGATGTTGCGCGGGCTTCCAAAGCATAGAGTCTTAGAAATGGTGTCACCCGTTTGTTCGGCCGTATGCTGTGGAACTATGCCTGCCGTTATCGACAGATGGCCAAGGCAGATCTTGCTTTGCCGCGTCCTTGGAACAATTAGAAAAAACATGAGATTCTGCAGGGCGTCACGCATGCAAATCACGTTGCCAAACATGACGCTGCGGCCTTGAATGAGCCTGATTCCTGGTTGCGAGTGGCTGGGGCGGGATCGAAGCCTCACCGAGTGGACCGTGCCCGCACCGGTGTTCCGGAAACCGGCGGAAGAGATTCCGGAGTGACCCACAAAATAGAAATCGTGATGCCGCAAGGCCACAAGGCCAAAACACCACCCAGGGCTTGCTTGGTCGGTGCACTGATCGCCGGTCGCGTGAGAAATGCCATCGTTTCGGCTGGTTTGATTCCAATTCACCACCTTTGGTAGTGATTCTGGCAGATCTGCACAGGGCGGGGTCGGCGCAATTCCGAGGACATGCGCATTCCTCGGGCGCCCGCCCGCAAGGACCCGGGTGATCCAGCAGTGAATGTTGCATCCGTTCCGATGGCCGTCAGTTCTGAGGCTTCTGATGAGAAGGCAGTGAGCCTCCATGAGGAGAGTACACTATCCCGCGACACTGGCAGACCCCAGAGGTACCGCCGAGTGAGTGCCGGGCAAATCCCGTGATACCACGTCCGTGAAAGCCAAGGAGGATTACGCGCCGGGGCTACGTGCATATCAACCAAGACAATACGGGGCAGAAGAGCGAGACCAAGGCGGAGGTGTGTTGGAAAATGACATCAACTCCGGGCGCTCTGCCTCTGAGCAGAGCTTCCGTATGGGGGCCAACAGGGGCAGGGAAAAGTGGACGCTACCTCCGGGAAAGACGGAGCGAGGAAGCGTGGCGTCGTCAGCGACCATCAGCTTACGGGTTCCCTACGGACATGCGGTTGACGGTGACCTGCTCCAAGCCCCCTAGGCCCGTGTCTTGACCGCCTGAGGACCAACAAACGTTTGTAAATAGCGCACCGCAGCGCTGAACGCCTCCCCATGGCATGACGGTGGGCTGCTCCGGTCGCTGGCGCCTCCGTCGGCACGTCCACGGCTTTGGGTATCCAGAACATGCGGACGGGTGGCCGATGGAACTGTTGTCTGTTTCTGAACGAACACTGGGGGAAACGCCCGAGCAGGTCACACAATTCAGAGCACCGTGTCGGATGTTGGGTTTCAGATGACGCTGCGGAAGGGCTCATCAGGTCTCACTCGTTTTGTTTGTGCCGCGGACCGCTGCGTTGAAATGGGCTGAACGAACCGCACTGGCACGCCCCCGGGTCGGCGCGGCTTCTGGAGGGAAGCAACCGCATTGGCCAAGCTGCCGGGAGTGCTACGGCAGCTGCCCCAGAAGAAACAATTTTCTTCGGAGGGCGGAAGCGAAGGTACATGTCCGAAATCGCACGAACGAAGCGCGCCGCCAAGAACAATCTGGCCCCAGATGCTGGAGCAAGGCGGTCCGGTGATAATCGTCGCCATTCTCGCCAGCCGAGGATGAGTTCGGAATAAAACAGGCGCTGCGTTGAAGAAGAGCATGAAAACCCCCTTGTCTCTGCATCTGCCGAGTTCATCTCCAATAGGCTTTTGTTCGGTCGCCGGGCAAGACATCAGACGTCCCGCATCGTGGGATACGATGCCCGGCCGAACAACAGTAACGTAGCGAGGCCCCAAGAAGGAGGGGCGCAGACACATGGGGCGTCCCTACCAGCTGGATGACCTGGAGTAATGGCCATGATGCAGCATTTGGGCCCGACTGTGTCGATTTTTCCTTCCTTCAACTGTTCATTGTCTTCGTTTTGCTCTGTTCTCTGTTCAACAAGGTGGACTATCGGACGCCCCCAGTCAGCGTACCAGAAGCCCTAAGGTACGCTGTAAGCACCGAGCCCTACAGCGCGGATAAAGGCTGAAGCTTGTCTGCGTGGGTTTTGGGTTTTCCCGTCTGGGGGGTTGCAACTGCGGCACACTCGGCTTGGCCCCCTATTCGACGGGCGAAAGTGCGCAGGGGGCTGCTCCGAGGGCAGCGAGCCGAGCGCTCCAGGTTGATGTCGCCGGTGTTCCCACTTTCCGATACCTCCTGCACGGCGACGGCCTCGCGATTGGCGGCGGGTTCGCTTTCGTGAGGGTAACAGCAGGTTGATGCACACTTCTGCGAGGAATCGAACCAGTTTAGGTCTGAGACTTGTGTTGAATCTGCCGTGAGGGTAGCCGTAGATGATGAATCTCGCGAGAATCAGTTGCGTGCTTGCCATGGACGGCCGGGGTGGGTCACAATGCGCGAGTCCGCTCTCAGCACGGGCGGGTAAAGCAAAGGCCCAGGCCCGGGGCAGCGCGAGTTTGATTAAAGAGAAATTTGGCGTGTCGCCGGAACGAGATGGTGCTGAACGCTCTCGGGATTGTTGCTCCATTTTCGAAAATTGGGTGAGGGGAAAGGGTGGGTGCCCCCGGAGCGAAGGCGGAACAAGGTGCCTAGCTGGCCCGGACTGGACGGCAGCGTTTGCCGTGGGCGCTTTCGGGCACAGCGCTGGCTTGCCTCTGTAATTAACCTGCCGAGCTGCTCGAATGGCGTTGTTTCAAGCTGATGCCAGGCGGAGGGTTCACTGAAGGGCCTGATGGAATAGCTGTCAGGAGGAGCCATATGTCGCTGTAGGCAGCTCGCGCCCAGCAGTGAGAGTAAGGTCTGCAGATGTCAGGCGCATTCGGATGCCGATGTCGACTTGAGCCGGCCACGCCAGCAGCCTGGTGTCAACAGCATGCCAGTTTATCTAGTCTAGACCAGTCCTCAGCATCGGGATTATGGATGATGAGGAATCGTCTCGATTGTCACCAGAGTCCCTGGAATGATGCGCACATCTGTTGAAGCAGCGACGGCTCAAACGGGCTGGCGACGGACAGAATGGAGGCCACGGTCCGACGAGTGCCATGGTCGCCGGAGGAGGCCCAGCTGGCAGCCATCGGCCCCGCCCCAGATGAAAGCATACTTGATGTACTAAGCATGCATATTATATATAGCTACGCCTTTGCTCGCCGTATCGGCGACCGATGCATCCGCAAGCTGCGGGCAATCAGAAAAAGAGGATGGGCGGCGCGAGAAGTGGTGTTCGTTATTGCACGGAATCCGGCCCCCCTTGATCTTCGGTCGGTAGGCCGCGCCGCAAATGAAGGTCGAAAGGCACGGGCGAAGGGCGTCCTCACAGGTCAGCAGGCCGTGCCGTTCCACTCAAGTGAGGTATGAAGGCGCACTTCCGGCAAAGGTTGGCGCCGTGTTGATCCTGAAGGAGAAAGGACAGACAGGCAAGCCCCAGGACGTGCTGCCGCCGGCGTTGGAGCAGGGCGATCC